AAGTAATTAGGCATAAATATTAGCATGACAAAATAAGGTGATTAATGGAATAACTAATTGTTTATGTGTGGTCAGATAGCAGATATAAATTGTTTGCCTACTAACAAATATAAATTCATTGGTCAAATGATATATTGGATTTAAACAAAATAGTTGATGAAAATATATAATGGTAATATATACGGCTATTAAAAGCATAGTAATTAAAATACAGTTATGTAATAAAAATATCAAGATTGTGTTGTAAAAGTGACGGATTTTGTAAAAGTACCTATTGTAGATCATATAGTGATTTTAAAAGTATAATATACAAGGTATATGTCTCGAGTGATATACATATAAGATATCGAGTGATATATTTGCTATTTGGGCTGTGGGAATAATTAAGATTTATTATTTACAAAAGAGTAACCACTAATAAAGCCTAGGTCTTTGTTTAATCCATTAATGTGTGATTTCAGATGAAGAATCCAACGTAATTCAGTACATCGTCGCTCCTTAAGGGAACGGTAGTTAGATCCTATAACAATGAACCTTAAATCTTTGATGGAATGGTCTGTAGAATTAAAGTGTTCACTTACGGGAAAACCCTTTAATTTATCACTGATAGATTTCTTGTGATTATTGATTCTTAAACGGAGTTTACATCCCGTTTCACCTACGTAGTTACCTTTGTTGCATATGGCGCAATATATAATATAAACAGCATTGGAGGCATGGCAGTTAAGTGGTGGAGGATGGATGATGGTGTTGGTACCAGGAACTCTGAATCTATCGGATGTGTCAATTATAGTGCATAGTTGGCATCGCCTGTTGTTACAAGCCATGTTACCATGAGTAGGATTAGCCAAGGGTAAACTGGAGGAGGTGAGAAGAGATTTAAGATTAGGGGGTTGGCGTTGAGCTAGAATCGGAGGATGAAGATAGAGTTCTGATATATTGGGGTCCTTCTGAAGAGTCTTGTAGTCATTCTTGATGGAGTTGCCGACAGATTTGATAGGGGGACAGTGATCAAATACCATAGGTATACGAGTATCGGGGATAGGTCTATGGGTGTAAGATAAAAGGTCTGAGCGAGATTTAGAAGATGCTTTTAATATAGCAGATAGTATTAGTTTTAAGGGATAGTGACAATTCAAAAAGTTAGTAGTGAGGCGAGACAGCTGTTGTTGGTAGTCTGTAGGGTCCGAACAGATTCGCTTGAGTCTGAGACACTGACTGTACACGATAGACCGTTTAAGAGTGATAGGATGGTAGCTGTAAAAGTCAAGGTATTGATGATTGTCTGTAGGTTTGTAATATATGGATGTAGATATGTTGCATCCGTTTCTGCCAACTAATACATCTAGAAATGGAATGGACTCACTAGAATATTCAACAGTGAACTTAATACTATGATGATAATTATTGATGATAGATATAAAATCTATAAGCTTATCTCTACCATGTTCCCAAATAAAAAATATGTCATCAATATAGCGTGAGTAATGAGAAGGTTTAAATACTAGGCTAGACAGTAAATCATTTTCTAATTCTGCCATAAAGACATTCGCATAGCATGAGGCCATTTTGGTTCCCATTGCTGTACCTGTTGTTTGGAGGCAGTAAGAGCCATTAAAGCTAAAATAATTGTGTTTAAGAATAAAATCAATTATTTTGCAAATGTCCTTAGCTGGTAATTCTGAATGGTAGTCCGTGAGAAATCTTTCGCAAGCAGTTACTCCTTCGTTATGAGGTATATTGGTGTAAAGAGAGCACACGTCCATAGTTACGAGCAATGCATCATCATCTAGGTGGGATATTTCGTTTAATTTGTTGAGAAAGTGCGTAGTGTCCTTGGTGTAACTAGGTATATTATGAAGTAAAGGGTTCAGAATAGAGTCAATAAAGCCTGATAATGCTTCTGTGAGTGTTCCAATACCTGAAATTATAGGTCTGCCTGGAGGTGTGATGTTTAATGACTTTGCTAGGTCGTAAATGACAACCGGATCAGATAGATCGTAGGTCGGTGCTTCCGAAGTCGAACTGTTTAACGCATCCTTGATAATTGACGGGAGCTTGTGAAGTTTGGGTAGACAGTATATTGTGCCTGGTTTTGGTGATTTTGGGACTAGTGGTTGTCTACAATCACAATCTTGATATTTTTATTACATAACTGTATTTTAATTACTATGCTTTTAATAGCCGTATATATTACCATTATATATTTTCATCAACTATTTTGTTTAAATCCAATATATCAAATGACCAATGAATTTATATTTG